AAAATCTTGTGTGACCCTAATATTCCATCACAAAGGCAGCAATAGATAATACAGCTTGGCAGGATCAGTTTGTGGCAAAATACAATTTTATAATTTTAAGTGATTTAATATATAGAATAAATACTATTTATCCAAATTTATGAAGGTAACTTGTTCTGTGTGTTACTCAGCTTCTTTGTTACTACATGAGGTGTTATATGGTGCAGAGGATATTTGGTGATAATTTGTTGCAGTGCTGCTGCTCAGTGAGGAAATAAAAAACGTAACTAGACATCGCATTGCCACAGCATACAGGAACCCCGCACAAACACAAAGCACCAATGCACCAGAAGTCAGAAGTCATCAGAACAGATTTATTGTTTAGTGTGGGGGTCATAATGAGCACATTTATAAAAGTCAGGGTAAAGTCTGGTTTCAAGTGTTCTATTTTCATAAAATACTMATTTTAATTTSTTTCATTACTAAATTCTCTTCAAATGGCTGGAAAATGCAGAGTTTTGACTAGATATTTTACAATTTTTTTTGCTTGGTGAGGATACCCTTGAACCTCCCCTAGAACTGCTTCAGTCCACAGCTGCTGGTTAAATGAGCAGGTGTTCCTCATGATGTCAGCAGCTGTTGGCAGGTGTAACGTAGACTTCTGGTTTTCTATGTCATACATTGTAAGCTATTTTTATTGGATATTTGGTTTCTAAAGATAAAAATTTACATCAAAGACAAAACAATTTGATTTGGTTTGTGAATGCATGTAAATCTGCAATTAAAATGAGAAAACTGCACAAGGGGCGCAGATTGAAACCTTGCCCAGGAACCAAATTAGCTAAAGCCGACCCTGCAGCCTGCTACGTATCAATTACCTGTTACCTGGTATAAGAAGRTAGAGAGAGTCAAATTGTTGCTTTTAAATGCTGTGTTCCATCTTCGCTCCATAAAACTGGAAGTCACCTGTCTTCTTTTGTTTTGCGGCTCATGCGAGGAYCACAAACTGCTTCGACGTTTAGACACAGATTGATGAGAAGCCGACAAACTCAAGACAAAAGCCCCGGAGCAGGAACTGCCACCAGCTCACCGTATCGTCCTGCCTCGGAAAGCTTTCTCTTCCTGACCCAAACACCAGACGACAAACACAACAAGCAGTCGCTGTAATAAAACGCTCGATGAAAACACTCACGCCCTTTTCACACTTTCGCTCGTTTATGCCATGGGAAACGAGATCCCATTTGTTCTAGGTTTTTGTTTTGCTTGTGTCACTTTTTTACAAGCCAACCAGGACACGTCAACTTCCTGTTCCCAGGTCAGACCACCCAGCCTGCACAGTTCTGAGCATATCTTAGAAATGTGTCGGAGTGACAAAGCCAATTCAAAACCTTKCTGAGAAATTTAAAAACTCAAAAACAAAATGTTACGGGAACTTGACTTTTCTTGTGTTGAGAATGCATCTGTTTAAAGTGTTTTATCAGGTCTGGAATAAAACAACCAGRGGAAAAAAAGAGATTACTTGCGTTTTTAATGTGACAGCCCAATTATAACAGAAAACTGCCTCCAAACYAAATGATCTGAGGTTAAAAGGACATAATAAAATGTTTTGGAATGCTTCTACAGGGATCAAATTATTATCTTAGTAATTTATTTTAGACAAAGAGCTTGAATGTACCATGAAAGAGCCTTTACACTGTTACAGCACGTGAAGAAGTGTAATAATAGCTTTAATCGCTGAGTTCAGTGACAAGCCAAGACTTAGGCCGTCATTTTCCCTTTGATCTCTCCGGTTATACCTCAGTGTTCGCACCTCCTCTGTGAGCAAACGCACATCGGCGGGGTGTTAACAGACTGACAGAAAAGACTTTCAGAGAAGGCCGCTGTCATCAGATGATCCTCTCGCTTCAAAGAGCATAAACACGTCTGTTGTACCTGTGGCACAAATTGCTTTATGTCCCATTTTTGGCATTCATCTCCATGGATCTAAAATGGTGTGGTCGATAACACAACAGTGCCTGTGTTGTTAAGGGTGTAACTGCAGCTACAGCCCCGAGGGGATCCGCGAGCTGAGAGCCTCGAAACCACACAAGAGGAGCTAAGCTCCGCTGAAGGGAGGCTGTCATCCTTTCCAGGCTGTACCTGTGGAGACTGGCCTGTCTCTCCAAAGGCCTGGCCGGGTAAAAGACGGGAGCTTTGGGAGGATTTGGGTGAGAATGGGAGCCCACTTTACTCCTTGACTCTGTAAATGCCTTGAATGAGTCGATGATCTTCAGCACAGAGCCCCAAGGGGAAGAGATGGAGCCGATGCTGGAGCTGGTACAGCTGTGCAGACAGGAACAGGATGGGTTAGCTCACATTATTACAGCAGATTACTGCACGCTTTCATTAGTCAAGTCAAGTTTTCCTGTAGGAATTCTGACAGTTGTTATTTAGAATTAAATGAGGCGATTTCCCAGAAAATGACGGCATACTAAAAACTGAACTGTTTATTTTTGCTAGATTTTTACATTTTATTGTTTTTCTTTACCACCAGTACTGTAGACAATGAACAAGAATTTTTGCCTTTTAATAAAAGTTTCCCACCTGTTTTTTGTCTGTTTTGCAGAAACTTTTCTTTTAGGCTAACAAGGACCCTAAAGGTGGTATCTCACTGAGTTGTGATTGTTAGAAACTACTTTGAGAAAAAAAAATCAAAAAAATGTGAGAAAATGTACTTTTTTAATGACTGGAATTGAGCTTTGTTTTTGCATTTTAAATGGTATGTTTTTAAAGATCACATCTTATTTTCATGTGCACAGTTTGCATGATTGTATTCTTAGTTGTGCACATTATTTCTTTTTTGCCCACCTCATCGACCCTTGTGCCCACCTTGGCTGCCTCCATCACATTAATCCCTTAACAGTCTTTGAGGTGGGCAAACATTTTCGGATGTTTGTTTTTTATTTTCAACCAGGGTGTCAAACAACTTTCTCCGAATCTTATCTTTTGCTTGACACCCGTACAAAAAAATTAAAAAATATCAAAAGGCTTTTAAAGTATTTGAGGGTGATTGTTCAGGGGTAAATGATTGAATCTGCAGGCCAGGCCAACCAGTAGATCGGGATCTACTGGTAGATCTTTAGCCTGTTAGCAGTAGCTCACAGAGCAATGGAGCATGGAGCTTGTAGAATGCAACATCGTTCAACATTGCAGCCTTAAACACACTCTTGTAGAACGCAACATTTGTTTGTTTAACATTGCAGCCTTGAACACACTCTTCGCAATGTTTGTTTGACGCTGCATTCTTGAACGCACTCCAGTCTTGTGAGTTTTGGGTGTTGTGAAACAGCACTCTGAACACGGTCTCGCGAGATTAGAGTCACGTGTTAAAACATGGCAGCGAGGCGGAAAAAAAAGATGAACAAAAGACAGCTAACAAGCAAATAAAAACATATTATTTTCAGCTGGATTGGGAAGAGGACTCATATGTAATTCGAGCGCTGCCTTGGCTTGTTCAAAAAGGATAACGTGGTACAGCATTTCTTTCAAAAGAATGCACAGATGCTACGAGGCGAATTTCCCCTCCTAAGGTAAGGCTGCTATGCTAATGCAGCCCCGTACCTGCCTCAACACACGTCTTTCAGCGATGACAAAGTTATGAAAGAAGCGTTTGATGCTGCAGACGTGCTTTTCCGTGATTTTAAAAATAAAAGTGAGATTGTGGCTGCTATAAAGACGTGCAGTTGTCCGACAAGGTTGATCCTTTTTGTTCGAGCATCACTTTTCTGTTTCTCTGTCAGGAGTTAAGTAAGGATTTTATCTTTTCTTTTTTTTGTAGGTAAATATATGGTTAAGTAGATAATTTTGTTTGAAAATACTTTAAATTAAATAAAACTAGCAACACATTACATTCTATTTAATTTACTTTAAAGAAGTGAGGAGTAGGGAGACGAAAAATTTTGTTTTTTGATACTGAGACTAGACGAGTAGATCTCGGCAAACTGCCGACTTCAAAAKTAGCTCTTGGTTCAAAAAAGGTTGGGCACCCCTGATCTAGAGGAATTCAGCTGGGTTGGTAATGCCTGACGCAGGCTGTATTAGCTTTGTATCTATACATTGTACAGTACACAAACTTGATTTGTTTCCTAAAAGCATCAGTGTTCCACCGTCTGGTACTGCACAAGTGTTTACACACACTTAAGTCTCTGTATTTATCACCTGCACATTTCCAGGTCCTTCTTCAGGCAGCCGATCCTGTGAAAACACCATCGTGCACTTTAACAAGAAGCCACACACATGCACGCTTATGGGCGCTATGATTCATGAAGCACACGTTTTTCTGTAAACACGCAGCTAAGTACGCTGCTCCAAAGTACTTAACAATTAGAGAAACAAAACAGATCCACCTCTCAGCACACACTCTAATCCTCAGGCATCCAGCTCCATGTGAGAGTGTCTCGGGGCCGAGCGCTGCACCCCAGCAGGTCTTCAGTGATAGACGGTGTTCTGTCTGCAGAAGAACAGGCCCTGGGTTCATGTGACCCGTCTATGGATGAGCCGCAGACACAGTTCCACTAATCTTACCATCCCTCTTCATATATGTCATCTGCAAAAAGTGGGCATTAAAAAGAAGTGTAACGTGTAATAGGAGGTCAGATTCTTCACCAAAACATGCATTAAGACATGCATATTCTTATTTTTTCTTGTATTGTTTTTTTATGATACTGCAAGTACCTACTCCCAACAATAACACAAACATTGAAATCCAAGGTCCTTTAGCTGCTGGTACTTCCTGAGGTTTTGTTTGTTTCTGCATGGACAACTTGGTTGCTTTCATCATATTTTTTAAAAGTAAAAATACCCTTTTTAAAATTTTTACTCAATCCTTTTGATTTAATCCAAACCTGTACGATTAAAGAAAAATCTCAGCTTCTTTATCAGAAGAGCAGCTGAACATGGGTCTAGACCTTGCACCGTGTTAAGCCAAATAAAGATGTTTGCTGGAAGAAGTGGATGTGGACAGTTTGAGGAATGAAGGCGTTTTTAATCTGCGAGGGAAACAAATGGAGGGATGAGCAAGAACTTGAGAGCATGCGGTCAATCACTGCCGAGGAGGGATGGAGGTGCCGAGAACAAATGAGCGACAGGCAGAAATAAAAATGGAAGGAGCAGAGGAGTCTTGAGGTTTTTGGCGTGTGGTTTTAGATAAAGCCGAGCTCTGGAGGATTAACTTGTCTTGAGTGTGTTTCAGAGCCAGCGTGGTTAAGGGGCAGGCACTCTGCTCTGGACAGTTCTGGAAGTTCTCAGCGACATCCAGACATCCTGGCTACAGTCCTTCATTTACACCAACAGAAACACAGCCAGAACCATCCAACATGACTAGAAAAATACCCAAAAATACAAAAGTCTGTCATTATTTTAGCCGACAGCTCATTTTGTCAGAAGTACAAGGCTAATCACCCACTCATACTTCATTATGTGTGCTCAAGAGCCTTCTGCTGAAGACATAAGGCTGATTCTCACACCACTGTTCTCGTCACTTTCGAAGTAATCACTCYGACAGCTCAGTCAAAAACTCTCACAGCAATGCCAAAGTAATGACAGAATGTTTCCCCAATTTTCAGCGTATTTTTGGACGTATGAGTCCTCGGTTTTCCTTAATCAGCCAGCGATACAAGTTAGCAGGTCTGTTTCACACCATGACGCTCTCGGCTCTGGCTGCTTCTCAGGTGTCAGCTGAGGAAGGTGACAGGAGTCAGTGTGAAAGTGCTGATAGGAGCGCACTTTCCCCAAACCTTCCCACCCAGATCTTCTCCAGAGTCAACCACGCTGACAGCAAGACAGGAGACGAGCGGGCTGGCTTCTYAGCATCTGCAGTGTACAATACTCCCAACGACACAGTGAGTCAGTAAAATGATGGTGCTGGTGTCAAAGASTGGTGATTTTGAAAAGGTTCAAATTCAGAAAATGTTTAATTGAATTAACAGAGAAATTATTTGAGATACAACACGATGTAATGCGAGATACAATGCAATGTGATGCAATGTGAAGCGATATGGTGCATTGCGATGCAATGCAATGCAATGCGATGCAATGCGATACGGTGCAATRTGATGCAATACGGTACAATGCGATGCGATGCAATGSAATGCAATACATTGMGATGCGATGCAGTGCAATGCAATACATTCCGATACKGTGCAATGTGATGCAATACAATGCAATGCAATGTGATACGATGCAATGCGATGCAAAGCGATGCGATACAGTGCAATGCGTTGCAATGCGATGCAGTGCGATGTGATGCAATGCAATGCGATACGGKGCAATGTGATGCAATACGGTACAATGCGATGCAATGCAATGCAATACAATGCGATATGGTGCAATGTGATGCAATACGATGCAATGCAATGTGATACGATGCAATGCGATGCAAAGCAATATGGTACAATGCGATGCAATGCGATGCGATACAGTGCAATGCGGTGCGATGGGATGCAATACGATGCAATGTGATGCAATTCAATGCAATGCGATGCGATGCGATGCCATACGGTGCGATGCGATGCGATGCGGTGCGATGCAATACGATGCAATATGATGCAATACGGTGAAATGCGATGTGATGCAATGTAATGTGATGCAATGCAATGCGATGCGATACGGTGCAATGTGATGCAATATGGTGAAATGCGATGTGTACGATATATGTTTATCACTACAAACATAAACAAATAGTCAGTGCAGACCATTTTATCTGAAACTGTGAACATAAATGGCTCCAGAGTGAATAATACGTCCATTGTATGTTACCGTGGTGACCTATCCAACTTCCAATAAAGCAAGATTGAGCCACTTTTTTCCTTCAGAAACCCATTTTGATCTCAAAAACTGAGAGCCACACAATAAACTGAAGCATAAGCTCAAGCTGCCTTCTGAAATTATGAAATTATTACATGTTGGCATGGTGGGGTGTTGAACCTGCGACTTTCTGTTTTCACGTTGGTTGCCATGTCAACATTACCATTAAGTTGCACATTTTTGGACAAATGTTCAGTAAAACATTAATCTCTTTTGTTTTCATGTCATCCCTCTGGATTCTCTTACAGTAACCACTGTAAGCTGCTCTAACACTTCTGTTATTGTGCAGTAGGTTTAGTCAAGAAGCAAGCTACATTTTTTTAAAAGGGCTGTCTGCTTCCTTTATAGATAAAAACAACATCGTTAACAGCATCTTCRCCCAGCCTTCTTCCACAGAGGCTGTTAGCTCTATTGGGTTTATGTTTTGTTGTTTTTTTTGCTTCAGGACACTTGGCTGGAAAACAGCAGCCTTTGTGTCATCCTGGTGTTGAGCCCTGGTGAAAAGGCAACAGAGACGAGGCAATGAGCTAAGTGATATTTAGCTCTTTGCCTGTTTCAAACTGACCACACTACACACACACACACACACACACACACACACA